TTGGTGATGGGCCATAATAATCAACCACATTGTATATCGACAAAATAAAAATTTAAAGGAAGAAAAAAAATTAAAAAAAATAAAATAAACTCTCATAAATAATGTTAGGGGCAATATCCAGTTACCTGTTTAAAATATTTTTCTTCCCTTAGTTATAGTAATTTTATGAAAGAATATTTCAGATTAAAAAATAGTCACTTGAAGCTCATTAAGGACTGCCAAAAATCTAATTTTATTTTTGCATTCTTTATAAATAAAAAGCAACCAATAACCACTTTCCACTTATATCCAACTTCAATGATCATATTTTCAGGAATTAATGAAAGACTTCAAGTACACTGCCTGTAAAGAATAGTTTAAAGCTGCTGAATTATGTTTTTGCTTAATATATTTTGTAAACTATAGTGAACTCTTAGAACACTGTAAGTTAACTACCTTTAATTCTTTTATTAATAAAAATGAATAATTTGAAACTCCATGCAGATGTGACATTTTAAATATCATACTTCCTTAACATAAGGTAAAACAGTCTTAGGCAGGCTGCCACTGGGAATTTTTCAAATGTCCATGGTAATACACAGATATAGATCACATTCAGTATTTAGAATATGACCAAGTGAGTTAATAATATGGCAAAAACAAAGTTAATGATAAGAATGAATACTTCTTTGAAAAGCTTCTGACATTTATTTACTTCTGGATAAATAAGTGAGAAGACCCATCACTATAAACCTATTTTTAGTCTTTAGCCTTAAAATTGCCTATGAGTTTTTAGAACACAGAAAAAAATATTTGAATGCATTTGCAACAGTTTAACAATGTATATGACACATTAGGATTTTTTAATGGAATGTTTTGAAACCAAAGCGTAATTCACTGCAAAGATAAATCAGAAAAAGAAAACAAACTTTTGAATGTTATAATGACCTAGACAAAACTAATTATCAACTAGTAGTTCTCATAATAATTAGCACATGCAACAGATGAAGAAATTAAATCCTGTGCTACGTAAGTATTTTGTCAGACACGAGACATTTTTAAAGGTTTTTATCAATCACATTTGCCTCCCACATAGAATTAATTTTTATATAAAACAAGGAAACAATCTTTCTTTTCCATATTCTCACGTTAATCAGTGCAAAGTAAAATGTAGCAATCTCAGTAGGAATGGTTTATCACAAGGTTATCTTATAAAGTCTTATTCCTCAAAATATCCAAAATATGCTTAAAAGATGTCCAAATCATGAGAATGATCAACCTCAATGGCTTCTTCTGCATCCAACTTGGCTTCCCCATGTCCTTCCTGTGGCTCATCGAGAGAGGCCAGGGCCTCATTTGTGTCACTTGCAAAAGTTTCTCGTGATGTATCATCATCTTCTTGAAAATTTAGACTTTTAATAGCTTGTTTCATCTTTTTCCCCAACACTTGTGTTCTCCTCTTCCTAGCAGCTTTCTTATTTTCATATTCCTTTTGATTTTCAATGTAGAAAATGTCCTATAATGAAGGAACAACTTTAGTAAATAAAAAATACCATTTATTGAGTATGTTATAAGGCAGGCCTTTACAATCACTATCTCCATTTCTCATAAAAAAAATAAGTAATAATTATTAGATTACTAACTTTGAAATGTCATCACAACCATATGTGAGTGCCCATGCTAAGAAACTCAGCTGTGCCTGTTGCTTTGCCTCCCGCGGATTTGTCACCCCTTTTCCTCTGGGTGCTGGAGCCACCAAAGATTACTCAAAGCCCATCTCTTCTGAGCAGTGAGAAGCCCTGAAAAGG